ATATATTTTTTCTCTTTTTTTCCCTCTTTTATTCTCTTCAATCTAAGCGCACTGTTAAAGAAGATATGGCTGTATCGCACTTCGCGCACGTATATCATGTGGGAGCTGGAATTCGGTTGCCGCATTATAATGTTGCGTCGGTTTTTACCTTCTTATTACGATATTATATTATTTTTCTTTTGCAAGACATAGTCACTGAAAACTTTTTTTTTTTAAATCGGTCTAGTTTGAGGTAGGAAATAAAGAATTATAATATGGAAACATAATAATGTTATGATTTAAACTTTAATTATTATTAAAATATTAAATATATATACTAAGTAATTCATGATATCTATGTAGTCATGAAAAAAATTGATCATTTTTTTTAACATATTATAATTTAAAAAGAGAAAATTCGCACCAGGGTCTTGAGACCTACTAGCAAAAGCCATTCGGTGCATTCCCCCCTCTCCCGGACGGGTTCGAAATCCACCCCTTGCAAAATATGTTCAAAAAAAAAAAAAAGAAGAGAAAATTCAAACTTGACTCTAAAGTTAAGAGTATACCTTATGTGAAAATATATAAAACTATTAGATTATGAAATTTAAGTGAGAAAAAAAAAAGAAAAGAAAGTTGTTTTGATTCATATGAGAAGTTTCTACTCCATTAATCTTGCCTCTTCCAATCACTCTGTATTCCTTTTCAATGAAGGGTGATATTATTGTTACACCCTCAATTATTAATATCACATATTTTTATTTTAAATGATTATTATATTTTTTAATTTATTAAAAAATAAAAAATATAAATTTTTTAGAAAAAGTGTAATAAAAATGTATAATAAACAATCACATTAAAAAAATATGATATTAATTATTTAGAATGTAACAATAATCTTATCCCCCAGTAAACCTAGAATAAAGAAAAAAAAGAAAAAAAGAGTAACCCACAAGGCACATAAATATATGGAAAGTGATTAGCATATATTTAATTTAATATGTTGTTAATATTAATTTTAGTTTAATTATTAAATTATAATATAACATAATATAATTAATTTAATTTATTATTATATTATGTATATAATTATGTTTTAAAATTTATTTATTTTTAATTTTATATTAAAAATAATAAATTTTTAATAAATCTATTGCATGTTATATTAAATTCAAATATATACGTATTATTATATAAATAATTATTATTAATGAAGAATGAGTCATTTGATATTAAAGTGGTTTATGCCAAAAGGGGAGCAATGCAGTCTAGGTGCACTTGTGCACCAATAACCTTAGCCACTTTATTAAGCGTTTAGGTAACAATTATAGTATTTTTATACTTATTTTCTTAAATCTCTCAATTCCCACAATTAAAAAAAAAAAAAAAAACCATAATGCAGTCAATGCAAGAGGGATGACAACGCTGCTAACTCAACCAGAATTTAATAATGATTTTTGTATTTTCAACTTATCCAATTTTTAAAAAATTAAGGAAGGAAAATAAAACTAAAAACCCTCAAATTTTGACTTAGTTGTAGCACTCAAAAACCGGTTTTAAAATAACCAAATTTTTTTTTTTTTTTAAATTTTGAGAATCGAAACCAAATCAAAGATTTTATAAATTAATCGATTTAATTATTGATAAAATTAGTTCAATTTTGGTTTTTACTAAATAAATATTAATTAATTATTTTTTTAATAATAAAATATATTTTATCTCATATTTTATCATATTTATCTTAATTTTAATTTTTAAAAAGTTTATTTTCAATTTTTGATCGTTGAAAGATTCAATAAAAACTGAACCAAAATGTATTTGATAATATTAAAACCAAAACAGTAAAAGTCAAAAACTATCGAAACCAAATTGAATTCATTTTTTAGTTCGGTTCCCAAATAACTCATCAGTTCGATTTCTAAATATCTAGCCCTACCCACCCTATAGGTCAGGGTCCATTATTAGTGAAAAAGTTAAATACGAGTGGTTGAATTTCAGCCGAAAGAGCACCATCCCAGTACGTTGCTACTTGTTAGATGTCGGTCCAATGTCAATTTTTTTTATATATATTAATCCCTCGATTTTTTACCATTATATTAAATATTAATTGTTCCACACTCGGTGGCCAAATAGCTACCCCTTTTGCAAGGGACGTGCGTAGGACTATAAGGTCTTGGGATCAATCCCAAGTCCCCCCATTCCCCCCTCCTCCAAGAAAAAAAAGATTTCATATTGTTCAAAAAAAAAATATGAAATATTAATTAATTTAAAATCAAATTATATTAAATTTTATTTGAAGAAAAATTCGTTCAACATTTATTTTTTTATTTATAATATTTGAATTTAAAATTTTATTTTAAAAAATTAAAATTTTTTTACTCAAATTAATAAATTATTTATTCATAATACCTAATTTATATGTTTCTAATATAATATCACGATGGTAAGTTCATGCTTATCGAGTTTGATATTAACTACTTTTGACCTACCGAAACAGCAAATATATAGATAAAAAAGACAAGCAGAGTTTCGAGGAATGCTCGTGGATGTCTGATGTAATGAAAACTAATGGAGAAAGACCTTTTTTTTTAACATATTTTGGGTATCGAGACCCTGCCGGGAAGGGGGGAATGCACCGTGATTAATGTCAGTAGCCCTCAAGGGGCAGGTGCATGGAGAAAGACTTTTGACAGCAACTTTAGCCAAAAATATAATAATTCAATGATAGAATTCTAAATTCACTTCTCTAATAAATCGATAGCTATAAATTTATTTTTTAAAAAAATATAAAAAAAATTATTTTATTTAATTATAAATTAAAATAAATTATTTATTTTTTTAATATTTGTTATCAAAAAATATTTATATAGTAAATAAAATTC